CAGCTTATAATCGATGAGTTTCCCTCCAGCATGAATAACTATGATTCTTAATAGGAAATATTACATTTGATAAATTTTCCAAATACAAAGCATTTAGCAGATTTTTGGACAGTAAGGTAAATGATATATGAATAAAAGATAACTAATAAATGTTCATGTAATTATTTAGCTCAGATTTGAGGAAAAATGACTCATTACTGAATAAAATTCTGATATAGAAACTTTCATCTGAGTTTCTGCTGCTTCTAGAAGCAGCTAAAGTGTTTCATAAAACACAAACAAAAAGCCGTTTGTTGGGAATAATTTAAAGTTTTTTATCAGGAAAATGATCCGCTTCAAAAACCTGCAGAATGTAACATCATAAATCAGCAGGAACTGCCCGTTACCTAGCAACCCCAGCAGAGTTCCACCTGTTACCTAGCAACCCCAGCAGAGTTCCACCTGTTACCTAGCAACCCCAGCAGGCGCTCCAGCACGTTCTGTTAGCTGGAAAAGACAAGTGTTTTTCCTGAGGAAGAAAAAAACCAACAAGCAGCCATTTTGTTTTTGTATCAAAACTTTATTTATCAAACAAAAAAAATGAACCATTGAAATAACATTTCTATAAAAAGGACCATGGGACTGTTCTACAGTGTGTTACAAAAACCAGCAAATGGAAAAACAACAACGTAATGGAAAGAAGCCGTTCTTCATCATCATCATCATCATCATCATCGGATGTCCTGCAGTCAGACAGGATCGACGTTCCTTCCTCCTGGCTCCTCTCCCTGATGAGATGAGGTGCAAATCATCTTTTCTACTTTCTCTTTCTACTCTATTATTCGTGTTCTGTAAGCCGGCGGCCCGAACCGGAGCTGACGGTCCATTTCACACGTCAGGCCGCTCAGAACCGGCTCCACCCAGACTGAACTTCATCTGCCTTCTTATTCCTCACAGAATCTCATTTCTGTCCCGACCGCGAGTGGAGGAAGTTTAATTTAAAAAAGAAAGAAGGAAAGAAAGAAGGGATATAAAGGATGAAACGCCAACGTTTCCAGCTCAGCTGCTGTTTTTAATTATGTTTTTTTCCACTCAATAAAATCAAATAGATTCAAATTTTTCTTTTTCTTCCTTTTATATTTTCCTTCCAACCGTTTAGCTTCCAGAAACCTTCAGCATGTTATTTATGCCACTCAATTCAATTCAAAAATACTTTATTTTCTGAATTGTCTCAACTGATATCTTCCAAAAACGTCATTTGGACAGATCTCCAGTAGCAGTCAGTCTTGCAACACATCTGAAAAAGCCTCTGACTGAAGACTGCTGCTTTAAAACAGTCCAATGACTAGCTAGCACTGCTAATCCACCTCCTTTGCTTTTGCTGCATCTGATTATTTCAGATACAAAATAATAAATTAAATAACTTAAAGATCATTTCCTGGATTTTAAATCTTCAAATTGAATCTAAAATTGTTTTGAGTTTCTTCCAACTTGCTGCCCAGAGATGATCGACTCCGGCTTTGTGTTCTGCTGCATAGATAAAAGTCTACAAATAATCCGGTAAACTAACTTCTGTCAAGATTTAATAATAAATAAGTAAAAGCAATAAAATGATAAAAATCTCAGAACTGAAACTGTTTAAGGCCATGAGGAGAAAAACAAAACATTCAGTCCTTCTTGTCCTTTTTTACTAAACTAAATTTACATATGCAGAAATATCACATGGATATAAATAATAGCTTTCAAGAGCACTCCAAATAATAATAATATATTAAATTTGAATATAAAAAGTCAATTCTACTCTAGTGGAACTGTACACTGTAAAAAAAGGCAGCTTGCTTTAATGTAGTCCTGCTGCAGCAATTCCACCTGACCCAAAAACCAAAGTTTCCTCAAGACAGAAACGTAAAATGTTCCTTTTATCCGGATGAAAGTGGGAAAATATTCCGGTTTGACGGTTAGCTTTCAGATTCAGAAAAATTCAGTTTTAATTTCTGAGTAAATTATTTCTCTGCAGACGAAGCCACAGGTCAGAGAAAACTGGAGAAACGACGTTTAGATCAGTCGCTTCCTGGACGTTACTGTGGAGCGGCGTGCTAACCGCTAGCACACTGTTAGCATGATGTTAGCATGCTGTTAGCATGATGTTAGCACGCTGTTAGCATGCAGTGGCTTCACCATTTAGGAAATAATTACACAAAAATTATGAATATTAATCTGGAAATTTCGCAATTTGAAAAGTAAAAAATTTGAGAACAAAAACTCAGAAATTTTCAGCAAAATTTTTGATTTCAGTAACAGAAATTTTACAAAAGTCAATTTTTTTTCTTTTACAGAAAATTTCTGATATCAATTTAAAAATGTCAAAGTTTTGAAAGTCAAACATTTGAGAGAAAAACTGAAACTTTGGAGTTAATTTAATTAAAAAAAATGTTCAAAAGTAGAATAATTTTAATTTTTGTGACTGAAAATTTCCAAAAGTCAAATGTATTTTTCCTTTTGTGGAGATTTTCAGAGTTTAATCTGAAAGTTTCTGAGTTTTCTCGTGAGGTTCTGATTTGTTCGCAGCGTTTCTCCTGCTGGACGTTCAGTTTGACCTTCCTGACCTTTTCACCCCGCCGCCCGTTCTGGCGAGACGCCGCCCTCGTCTCAGGGATGACTGGTTGCCGCGGTAACGGCGTGAGCCTGCATGGTAATGCTGGAAGCGTCCCAGTAATGAATTCACAGCCTGGATCGGCAGGAAGCTGAATCTGAGCAGCGGCGGCGGCGTTCCCTCAGGCTTTCTGCTTCCATCACACAGATAAACGTCTGGAAATTACAAGATGGCGGCCGGGGCAAATAAAGAGCCGCCCGATGGCCGATTTTACCCCCGATGCTGATGAATGACTTGTCAGTTTAAGTTCCTGCCAATTTGCACAAGTCAAAGAAAGTTTGTCCTTAAAGCTGCTGGATCTGAACCAGGCGGCGAGGCGCAGGAGGAAGGGCGGCAGGAAGTGGATTGCTGCAGCAGCCAGAGAAGATGAAGGAGATGTTCGCCCAGAAGCCATCAGCCGGCGCTGATTTTTCACAGTGTACGCCGCTCTGCCTCCATTTCTGACACTTTCACTAAACTTTCCTCCTTTACAAACTCCAACTCGTCTAATCCTAAATCTAAATCAGGATCCTGTCGTCCATCTTGTCCTGGATGTGAATCCAGATGATTTACAAATCTAAAAACACAGATTCCCGTCTGCAAACCTGAAGCTGCAGCGCTGCTCTGGCACGGCGAGTCAGAGGGAAAACCAGGAAAGTTACGCCAAAAAACCCAGAAAGACTTTTATAGACAAAACAAGGACATTTCTGAACTCCAAAAGTCAAAAATTAGCAATAAACTCAGAATTTTTCAATCTCAGAAATTCTCTAGAAAAAACAACATTTCTGTTTGAAAAGTAGAAAATTTGCTAGAAAAAAAGTTAAATTATGAGATTAATCTCAGAATATTTCTGGGTTCAAAAGTCAACCATTTTGTCTTGAACCTCACATTTCCAAAAGCTGAAATTTTTACTTTTGAAAGTCAGAAATCAAAATTTTTCTCTAGAAAATTTCTGAGATTAATTTTAAAATTTCTGAGTTTTTTCCAAGCAAATTTTTGACATTTGATTAAAAAATTTTTCCCAAAGTTTTTCTAGAAAATGTCTGAGGTAAACCTCAGATAAATTTTCTAGTTTATGAAACTGAACGTTTTTGGTTGTTGAAACTCTGACATATCCAGGTTTTGTCTAGAAAAGCTGCGTCTGCTCTGACATGTCCAGGTTTTGTCTAGAAAAGCTGCGTCTGCTCTGACATGTCCAGGTTTTGTCTAGAAAAGCTGCGTCTGCTCTGACATGTCCAGGTTTTCTCTAGAAAAGCTCCGTCTGACTCCCGGTGCAGTTCGCTCCTCTTCCTTCTCTGCTGCTCGCCGTCGTTTCTTCCCCTCGTCTCACTGTTTAATTTACTTCCTGTAATGAAAAGGGGAACGAGTCCAGAGCTGTTTTCTACGAGGTAATTACTGAGTCCGATGTGTTGATTTAGTTGGAAGGCTGCGTGATATTAACTTTTCTTTCTCTCTGTGTTTCTGAATACCTGATCTCCGCCGTGACACTGAATGTAAAAATAGACTTTTTTAGGATTATGTTTTTCTTTTTGTAACTTTTTTGTCTTTTTCTACAAAAACGAAACCCCTGAAGGAAACTCAAAGTGAAGCTGGTGGGTTTGTGTTCAGTCATGTGATCGTTTGGTTCTTCAAAACAAATAAAAACAGAAAGAAATCCCACAGTGTCATAAAAATAAATGTCGGTTTCCCAGCAAACAGAGACGAACATGTCAGGAAACAACCAACACAGAGCAGAGATGAAACTAGTTCATCTAAATCTGGATCTTTACAGCAGGAACTGTTCACAGGTCATGAACCTGAACTGACCAGTTATTGGTCAGAATGATCCTTTAACTTCCTGGATTAGTGAAATATTAAAATGATCTTGTTCTCCTGCTGGTTTGTGTTTGGTTCAGGGTGAATCAGCTGAGCTCCAAATGTTCCCTCTCCGAGTTCACATGGGGTCATTTCTGTTGTTTCTGTTTTAAATTTAATGCCTACATTTAATTTACTAAAAGGATTAATAACAAACTCAGGAAAAGTTCTGGATCCATTGCTAGCAGCTTGTGTTCAGCACCGTCATGGTTGCTAGGCAACAGGACGGAAAGGCGGGAAATCTGAAGGCTGAACGTTTCACAGCTGCTAACTGTTAGCATGTTATTGCTGTTGCCAAGTGTGACCATCACTGTTAGCGGGCTAACGCTAAAGTCAGACTATTCAACAGATCTTTAGCATGACAGTGCTAACAGTTAGCAGTCTGTTGCTAGTGTTAGCATTAGTGTTGCCTATGGATACCACAACGTTTTTACTCTTTACGTTTTTTACGCCCCGTCTCACTTTACAGGCCATGAATGTTTCAGTGAGTCCAACTGAAACACAGCTAACAGCTGAATCTGTCAATGTGTTGAATTTTCCAGACCACAACCCAGTCGAGGCGACGCCGTCAGTTACTGTGGCAGAAATAATGTTGGCCAAACTAAACTCTAGAGACGGTTTCTTCTTTTACTCAAACCTACAATAATGTTTTGTTTCCTTAAAAATATTCTTTCTCCTCGCCCTCTGGTTTGTGTTTTGGCATCAAGACGGACAGGAACAAGTAGCAAAAACAAAGATATTCACAATAAGCTTCCTAAGGTCAGAATTTGGCAGCAACACAAGCTAAAGTCGCTAACAGCTAACGTCAGCTCAGACGATGGGGTTCCTTCTGAACGTTCCTGTTTCTTCGTTCACAGCATCCTGGAGACGGACGGGCTGATGCTCAGCAGAGCTTCCTGGTTCTGTTGGCGAAAAGGAAATCAAGGAGAACACACGAACAGCGCGGCATGATGGGAAACTTCAGGTCCATGTGAAAAATATCACGTTTCAGTGAAACTTTGGCTGAAGACGTTTCGTTTCTGAATCGCAGATTTACAAACGTTCTGCAAAACCAAGAGATGAAGGAATATTTCCAACGGTACCGGTGGAAAGAGGCGAGGTGCGGTCACAGCCAATAAATACCACAAACAGGAGAAACGAGGATGTTACAGGGGTCGTCTTTCTGTGATGTTCCTGTCCTGGTTGGGTTCCTCCCAGGTCCATGTTGGAGAATCTAGAGGGTTCTAGAGAATCGCCACAGCTGGTCCTGTTCATGGAGTGGATGCTGCAGAGTTTAATTCCCTTTTCAAAGCCCAGACCAGAAAACCAAACGGATGGAGATCTGGGCGACCAGCCAGTCAGAGCAGATCGGTCCGTGGCTGAGGAAGAGCCGGACCGGGCCGGACCGACCGGGCCGGGCCGGGCGGCGGTTAGAAGGCGGAGCCGGTGATGGCGTTGAGCTGCTGCATCAGTCCTTCTAGACTGGCCATCTGCTCCGACAGGTCGTCCTGCTCGTACACCTGAAACACAACATGGAGGCGTTACATCGGCGCCGTTTCACTTTGGACAAGACGCCACGGCGCAGGCCAGCTGAACTGCCTGTGATTGGTTTATGGTCGGCTGAACCGCCTGTGATTGGTTTATGGTCGGCTGAACCGCCTGTGATTGGTTTATGGTCGGCTGAACCGCCTGTGATTGGTTTATTCCACCAGCTGCAATTCCACCGACGGCATCATCACACAGTTTAACAGGAAGTAAAGGGAATGGAAACACGGCAATTTAAAAAACCTGGATTTAAGTTCTGGTGCCAAGAAAACGAGGATTTCCATCCATCCATCCATCCATCCATCCATCCATCCATCCATCCATCCATCCATCCAACCAACCAACCAACCAACCAACCAACCAACCAACCAACCAACCATC